CTATGGGTGGCTCGGCCAAAACCGAGCCACCCATAGGTGGCTCGGCCAAGAGCCGAGCCACCTATGGGTGGCTCGGCCCAGTGCCGACCACCCAGAGGTGGCCGACACTGTTCCGTGCGCGGGCACAGTAAAGGGTGCCTATAAATAGGCCACTTGGTTCATTTGTTCAAGGGTTGGAAATTTTGGAGGCGAAGCTCTGCCGGATTCAATACTCGAAACTTAAAAAAGATTGGAGCTTTGGGACTTCGGGGACTCACTCTTCCAGATCTGGTGCTCAGCGATCGTCAACGCCAAAAAAGGCAGGTGTTCGAGAGGACCGGATCTCAGATCTACGCAGACGTACTCCGGATCTAAGCTTGGTCTTAGATCCCGAGACTTGGACGATTGTTTCCTTGGTGAATCAATCCTCCCCGGCTATTATTTCCTTTGTGGAATAATACCCGTCGTACTGCTTAGATCTGATCGGATCTAGATCTCGCGGTGGTCCACGGATAAACCCCGGCGCAGGCAAAGAACCCACACAAAGCAAGAGACCGCAAAACAGGATCTTGCGATTCGTTCGACAAATAAGGAGAAAGTTGTAATTTTCTTTATTTCTTGTGTTATTTGATTTTCGTTGTAACCGGATCTAAAAAAAGACCGGATCTTTGTAATCGATAAACTATTACAAGAATTTGCAATGGAATCAATGATGAAGAAAACAACGATTTTTCCCGCGAACAACAACAAATTAAACAACATTGTAAAGGACAGTTATTCTCCTCCATATCAATTTATATGTTGTTGACATAATACATATCCACGACATCAATTATCAAATATATTGATGATCGAAGTTATCATCTTGTTGGATTTGAGATACAAGTCTACGGGCAGGTTGAATAGAGTTGCTGTCGTTTTTCACTAAAAATACAAAATAAACAGCGGAATAGATAAAATAAAAGTGAAAAACAACTAACCTAGGACATGTAAAATTTTATAGTGGTTTGGATAATAATCATATGCCCACTCTTTCTTCTCATGAAGGGGCTTCCTCATTATACCAAGAGTTTTCCAGAATCACAAACTCGATTCAGTAGGCTTACAAAAATCGTATCCTAGAGTCTACTTGAAGGCAGTCGTCTAACCTAACTCTCTATAATGAGTAACACCTAGCCCTAGTTAGTACTAACACTCAATTAACACCGGCTTAAGTACGCAATAAAAATAAGTTTGAAACAAACCACCAAACACTGTTTAAGCACAAAAAATATGAAAGATCTTACAACCCTTTTCGATTAACAAATCGTTCTTCGATAAGTCACAATGAAGCTTGATGAAGAATGGTGTGGATGATGAAACCAATGGCAACTCTCCTCGCTGAGAGGACCTGAAGATGATGAGCATGATGAGGAAGAGTTTGTTGAGGCTCTGTGGGTTCATAAATTCTAATTCAATCTCCTTCAAACAAACCCTTCTCTCTTCAAACCTCTCTTCAAAATGCTAGAATCCTTTTTTCTAATTGATCTTTTTCAATTTTATGTAGCCTCTAATTAATCAGAAAAGTGATATTCTAATCTTAGTGGAAGTTAGAGATGAAAGGAGTCAATGAACGACTGTGATTAAATCATTAAATTTCCAATTAGTCGTCTTAACCATCGATAGGTGCTCATGACCATTGATGGGTCTCTAAGCACCATCGATGGGTTCCTGTAACCCATCAATGGGTTGAATTACTTTTTCTGAAAGTCTGCAATTTGTTCTATAGACCGTCGATGACCTCTAGCCCATCAATGGGTTTCTAACGCCCATTGACAGCTCGATGACTAAAATTTGCGCTCGTGCTGATTTTTGCATTGTTTCAGCTCATACACATTATATACATGTTTTCCATGTACTATATTATCTCAAATAATTATTAATACTAAATGAGAGTTTGCTATTACTCAAACAAGAGCTATTGTATAGACAATGTTCTAATAATCTTTCTTAATAATAACAAATTTGAAATTTAAAATACCTAAATATATGCATATTTGAGATATATATATATATAGTGACTATAAACACAAATGCACTTTCATGCAAAAAAAAAAAAGATATGCACTTTCATGCTAAATTATTCATGTGTGTTAAAAAGTTTGGTGAGGTCACTGGGTTGGAAGCAAATAAGGATAAATGCTCTATTTTCTTTGGAGGAGTTGATGGAAATATGAAGAACTACATCATTAACCTGCTGGGGTTTAAAGAAGGCTTGTTACCAATCAGATATTTAGGTGTTCCTCTTATCTCTAGAAGATTATCTTACATGGATTGTAGTGATCTCCTAAACAAAATTTCTAACCAGTTGCAGTCTTGGCTGAAGCATAAGAATCTCACATATGCGGGTAGACTTCAAATCATCAAGAGTGTTATTTTGGGTATTCAAGTCATTTGGACAACAAATTACACTCTGACTGTTAAAGTAACCCAAAAAATTGATGAACTATGTAGAAATTTTCTATGGGGAAGAAAAAATTTGTCTCAAAAAATCCCTTTAGTGGCTTGGCATAATGTTTGCCTGGGTAAAAAGTAAGGAGGTCTGGGAGTTTTTTCGGCTACAGTTTGGAATTTGGCAGCCACCTTGAAGAATCTGTGGTATCTACATGTGCAGAAGGAATCCTTATGGATCAAATGGATCCATGAG